AGTTTGTGTTGTGTAAATTGACTTAAGATCCTCTGTAGTTCATGGAATTGCTCCATAACCGATCTCGAGTCAACCATCTTGTAAGAGTTAAAACTACTTACAAGAAATCTCTTGCTGGAGGCATCGTCCGATACGTATTTAGCCTCCAACGATTCCCACAGGGCTTTCGCCGTGTCTATGTGTTGATATACATCAAAGAGTTCGTCGGACATACCGTTCAGAATGTGACCGCAGCATACATAGTTGTCGTTGTCCCATTTGTTTCGTATACGTGTATGCGCTAAAGTTTCCTCTTCGATCTCTTCCGGTCTGGGTGTGCTGATGACATAGACGACATTCAGCATCGTCAACAAGAAGTGCATCTTCTTCTGTCACCGCCTAAAACCCACGCCCTCGAACTTGTCGAGTTTGTGAAAGTTTATAGCCAAATCCCTCACAGAAGATGTCATCCTCGAGTGGATAACGGTTTTAGATTGTTAGAAATCTGGATAAAAAACAACGGAAAAACGAGAATGAAATCGAACCGAGGGACCGGATATCTCTTCAAGGCGTGTAGACACTTTCCTAAAACCGTTATTCCGTCCGTTACGAGCAAGGACTACCGGAATACGATTCTGAGATACAATGAAGAGAAATACGTTCTAGAATTGCTCGTTCAAGAACGCACAGACAAGGAAACGTGAAGAAGAAGATGAACGAAAGCTCTCGGGATAGTTTTTGCAAGAAACTTCCGAAAGTGCTCTCAAAATCTCTCAAAATTGGAATTAATCTCGTACCCAACTTATTCTGACGTCTTTAGTATATAAACACCAAAGAACATCACCAAAAGTTGCAAAATCTGCAGTTATTACGCGAAGAATCGCATCAGTTCGTATATAACTGTCATGTTCCGAGTTACACTTGACACAACATGAAGTACTTCTCACAGACTTTTGACTCAGATCGAGTTCTACCTGACACGGGCCGTGTCAAATTTCTGTGCAACACGAATTTTTTCTCAGACAATCAACACGGTTCGAGTTAAATCTAACACGGACCGAGTTACATTTCTGTAAAGAAAATTTCGTTTTCGTCATGAAGACTGAGTTCTACTTCACCCGAGTTGAGGTATACCTCACTCACAAACCGAACAACTTTACTGCCAAACACATATGTGTTTCA